TGTAAATAGGGAAGGGTGGAGGGGGTGAAGGGAGGGCAGGGGAATGGGGAAAAAATAAGAACCAAGATGCATCATGTACAGATACAAGATCCCAATGATGAATGTCACTGTATTGTATACCAAAACGTACCAATAAACTGAATGGAAAAAAAAATCCATCCCTGTGGAGTGCTCAACATACACACTCTTATTCTCACAATAAGAGCATCCCACCCTGAAATTCCATGGAACAAAGTTAATGACAGTCTGGCATGCTGGCACGTGCTGTCTTCCCAGCATGGGTGACGAGACAGGAGGGGTGCAAATCTGAGCCCAGCCTGGGCAGTTTAATGACATGGGGAGACTGTTTCAAAATTAAAAACAAAAAGGGCTGGGGATGTAGATCAATGCAAAGGCCCTCGGTTCAATCCTCAGTACTGCAAAAACAAAACAAAACAATCAAATCTGCCAAGTGTTTCTGTTTCGTCTCCCCTTTGGAACATTACAATTGAGACCGTGAAGCTGAGCTTGGTGGCCCACAACTCAATCCCAGCACTCAAGAGGCTGAGGCAGGAGGATCACTACAAGTTCAAGGCCAGCCTGGGATACATAGTGAGTTCAAGCCCAGGCTGAACTACATAAAGAGACCCTGTTTCAAAAAACAAAACAGAGCAGGGGACTTAGCCCAGTGGCACCGCACCTGCCTCACAAGCTCAAAGTCCTGAGTTCAATCCCCGGTACCAAACGAAAAGACTAACTGTAAGACATATGGACTCTCAAAAGAGTACATCTCCCACCATGCCTTGCAAACATGAGCTCAGGTCATGTGACTTCATTCTGACCAATAAGATAAGACCAGAACGTGAAACTTCCGACTTCTGCCCTTCGAGAGACAGAAGCTTGCTCCTTCTGTCTGGTTCTCTTTTAAGGGCAAGGGGAGCCACGTGTTCGTTAGCAGAAAGCAGATCAGAGTCTTTTGGCTCTGAAGAATCATTCAATAAATATTTATTTATAATTAAAAGTTTCAGGCTGGGGATTTAGCTCAGTGGTTCCAGCACCTGCCTCGCAAGCGCAAGGTCCCAAGTTCGATCCCGGGTACCAAAAAAAAAAGAAGAATTATAATTAAAAGTTCCCTCCAGTATCCCCCACCACCAAGTCCCCTACCCAGGATTAGATGAATCTGTGAACACCATGTACAGGTCTGTTTCCTTTCTTGGCACTTTTCCCCCCCAATGCTGGGGCTAGAGCCCAGGGCATTCACACTGAGCTACACCCCCAGCCCTTGTGGACAAGGTCTCACTAAGTTGCCCAGGCAGGGTTCAAACTTTCGACCCTCCTGCCTCAGCCTCCCACAGATGACAGGTGCACCACCACGCCTGGCTCCTCTTGGCTTTATTTTGAGAAATGACAGTCCTCCGGGGCCAGGTCTTAGAAGTGGCAAATCAGCCGGGCTTGGTGGCACATGCCTATAATCCCAGCTCAGGAGTCTGAGGCAGGAGGATTGCCATGAATTCGAGGTCAGCAAGGCTCTGTCTCAAAAAAAAAAAAGAAAAAGAAAGGGGCAAATGACCCTGTCTGCCACTGCCCACTGGGAATGTCCCACCCAAAGCTGGTGCCTGGATGGTGGTATGGTCCCAGGGGGTCAGGCCTGGTCGCTCAGCCTTTCTGCTTCCTGCACCTTGTCCTCAGGTGTCTGGGCTCCTCTCTGGTTCCACATGTGATTGTTCACTCCCAGCTGCACCATCTGGGCGTGGTGAATAATGAGGGGGGTCTGAGGAGGTGCAGGAGAGGCAGGTGGAAAGGTAGGGGGCTGGGGGAAGGTGGGGGGCTGCGGGCAGGCTGGTGAGGGGGTACCAGTATGCCCTGGGTGCAGTGTTGGTGGCTGAGGACACCCAGGCCAGCCCAGGAAGGGCGGCAGGGCTCCCCAGGGCCCCTGGACCCCAAAGAGCCCCTGAGCCGGATAAGGCACCTGAGTCCCAAGTGACAAGTGGCTCCCGAAGTCCACCTTGAGCTTGTCCATCTGAGCCTGCCAGGCCAGGCAGCTCTGGAGGTAGGCACTGTGCTCGGCGTGCAAGGCCTCGGCCTGCTGTCTCTCGCTGTCCAGGCGCTGCCTGGCCTCCAGCCGGGCCCGCGCATCCTGCTCCCTCTGCCAGTGCGCCCTGTGCTCCCACAGCCTCTGGGGCTTGAAGGTGTTGCCCACCTTTCTGGCAAAGATCTTGGAGTGCTCGTCCAGCCACACGAGGCCGGAGAGCAGGCGTGAGGTGTCAGAGCGCTGCAGCCCAGGTGCACTCTCAAGCGGCAGGAGGGGGATGACACTGTCTCGGCGGCCGTGATGTGTGAAGCTGCTTGTCAGGGCCTGGTTGACCTGGTGCAGGCTCAGGGCGCTGTTGAAGTTGGGGGTCATGAGCAAGATGATGAAGCCTGAGTGGTCAATGGCGTCCTGCAGGCAGCGGAGCTCACCACGCCCGGGCACCTGGAAGTCCTCCCAGAACGTGGCCCCATCGGGCACCCCCAGGGCCTCCAGCCTCTCCCGGACTCGCAGGGCCACATGCTCATCCGCCAGGGCGTGGAGGACCACGAAGTTATAGAACTTCTGCTCCGATGCCTCGGACTGGAAGGAAGAAGGGCAGAGCGGGCGGGAGGAGGCTGGCAGAGCCTCGGAGCCGGAGGATGGGGAAGCAGCAGGAGGAAGGGGCAGGGAGGTCTCCGGAGCCAAGGACATCGGCGGGCTGGGCTTGGAGTCCTGTGATGTGGTGTCTTCCACAGACAGCTGGGGTGCTCTCTGGTCTTTGACGGGGCAAAGACTTTCTGTGGGTTCGGGATCCGGTGAGGGGAGAGGTTTGGGGCCTGAGGAGACGTCTGTGCACTCCACTGGGGAGTGGGCGCCAGTCTCCGGGGGAGCAGGGGGAGCGGGGAGGCCTGGAGAGGGGGGGTCGGGGCCCACTTCCAGGGCAGGAATGCTTGGCAGCTCCAGAGGCCCCGTGATCTGGGCCGAGGGGGGCCAGCTCATCTCCTCCGGCTCCGGGCCCCCCAGGGGGACAGGCTCAGGCCCCAGAGGCTGAGTACTGAGCTTGCTGGGCCCGTGGAGGCCTCGGGGCTGGCTGAGGAAGGCCATAGTGGGCGACTGGCTGATTTCCAGGTCGCTGGCCAGCGAGGCAGGGCTGCCCGTGGAGCGCAGTGAGCGCCCCTGGCTCCAGTCCTCGATAGGGCGCGGAAGGCTCCCAGTCCTCGGCGGTGTCACTGATGACAGTTGCAGGGGACCCTCATTGGAGCAGAGAGGCTGGAAGCCCCTCATGTCCCCGAGGACGTCCCACCCACAGCAGTCGAAGGCCTCAGCCTGCAGCTCACCCAGCCGCGGGTCCCCATGGGAGCCGAGGGCCTGGTGGGCTGCCTGGTAGGCCGCGTCCCTCAGGGCAGCTGGGCACAGGGACTCCTCAGCCAGCAGGTGGTACAGGCGGGCAACTGCCCAGGACACATCGGCGGGTTCCTCGGGGCCCTCGACACTGTCCATGCCGGCCCACCGGTGGCCCACCAGACGGGCCACAGTGTCAGCCTTCAGGGTGTCCAGTGAGATCCGGGCCTCGGTGTCCCGGCCCAGCTGCAGCAGCACCATGGCGTGCAGGAGGTCGGCGCCTGGGTGGCCTTTGTACACCGTCTGGAGCTTGTGCTGCAGGACCACCAGCTGGTCCGGCCCGGTGGCAGCTAGGAGGTCAAAGGCGCCAGGCAGTGACGGGCCTGGGCAGGCCATGGGCACGGGAGGGAGCGAATGTGGGCAGCAGAGGCTGGGGCTGGTGGCGACATGTTCCAGATGGCTGCCTCCTGCTCGCCCAGCGACTCCTATTTATCACTGTGCCCAGGTCCACACGCAGGAGGGCGACCCGGGGAGACCTGCCGGAGACAGGAGGGCACCCAGTTAGCACCAACACAGCAGCAAAGCCAGGGGTGGCAGTGCACACCTGTCACCTCAGCACATTGGAGGCTGAAGTAGGAGGATCGCTGAAAGTTCAAGGCCAGCCTGGGCTACATAGCCAGGCCCTGTCTCCAAATAAAAAATAGAAAGGGCAGGGGCCAGGGATTTAGCTGTGGTTCCGCCACCTGCCTTGCAAGCACAAGGTCCCGAGTTTGATCCCTGGTACCGGAAAAAAAAAAAAATAGAAAGGGCTGGGGTGTACCTCAGTGTGAAGGCTCAGGGTTCAGTCCCTAGAACTAAAAAAAAAGAAAGAAAAAGGGGTGTTTTCACCCAGGAAGTCCTGGGGAAATTTACTACATGGCCATCGGTAACCCATGCAGCTAACAGTATCAGTGGGACAAGTAAACTGTCACTGCACACGAGCGGGTCTGTACCTAACTGGGCAGCCACATGGGAATGACTCTGGCTTCTCTGTGTTTCTCTGACAATGCCGGACTAAGTCCTGCCTTTATCATTCCCTCCAGGTGTGTGCTGTCCCCAGGCTTCCCTACTGACCTTAGCCTCATCTTTCCAGTCTCAGGTGCAATGGGACTGCCGGAGAGGGGCCTCCAAAACCACCCCAGGTCCTGCCTGTCTCTCCCCTGTCCTCTTTCTGTCAGTTGTCAACACGATAGACTTTCTCACTGAATGAGTATTTGTGTGTGGGGGGGGTGCTAGGGATGGAACCCAGGACCTTTGCACATGCTAGGCAAGGGCTCACCACTGAGCTGAACCCCAGATGTGAGCTTTTCCTGCATGTTAAATCTTTCACATTTACTGCCTGACTCCCAGTAGCTGGTGAGCACCTGATAGTGGAGGCTGGGTCCCTTCTGCACACTGCTGGGAGGCCAGAGCACAGTGCAGGCAGCTGGCAAGGGGCTGGTGGGTGGGTGGATGAGTGGATAATGGATGGGCTGGCCTTCAGTGCTGTCCCTGAGTAGACCAGGGCCCAGAGAAAAGGCTTTTCCCAAGGACGCCCACAACCCTCCAGGCCAGGACCCAGCCCCTGTTCCGGGTCACCAGAGCCCTGTTCAGCACATTCTGAGCATCAACACCTTTTACCTACCCCTCAGCCTGGCTGGACTGAGCCCTGCTGCTTGTCCCTGCCCTAGCGCCTGCCACAGGGACAACAGCCTGAAGCCAGCTCCCACCCAAGAACACAGCCCTGTCTAGGACGGGTGAGGCGGTCACACCTGGGGCTCCTGGCACAGACTGGTGGAGGCTGCCGATGCCGCTCAGCCCCTGCAGTGCCCAGGACACCACGGAGAACGCCCGGCTCAGTGTGCAGTGCCCAAGGAGCCCCTGGGCCAAATCAAAAGACGACCCCAATGGACTGGGGATTTAACGCAGTGGTTCTGGCACCTGCCTTGCAAGCAGAAGGCCCTGAGTTTGATCCCTGGTACCAAAAAAACTCAAAAAACAAAAAACTGATAAAGTGAAGAGCTCTTTGTTTAGTTAGAATTCTTTTTCCCTAGGGGGGATGGAACTCAGGGCCTTCACACTGAGCTACACCCCAGCCTTTTTAAATTTTTTATTTTGAGCAACTTACGTTGCTCAGTTGCCCAAATTGGGCTTGAACTTGTTTTTTTGTGGTTTTTTTTGGTACCAGGGATCGAACTCGGGTCCTTGTGACTGCGCAGCAGGTGGCGAAACCACTGAGCTATATCCCCAGCCCTGGGCTCGAACTTGTGATCCTCCTGCCTCAGCCTCCCAGATGCTGGGCTGCCAGGCTCCCATGGCTTACTTTTTTTTTTTTTTTTTTGCAGTACCAGGGATCAAACTCAGGACCTTGCACTTGCGAGGCAGGCACGATGCCACTGAGCAAAATCCCCAACTCAGGCTTAAATTTTTAAAAAATTGATTTTGAGCAGACCTACTGGGCCCAAGGGCAAGCTCAAGACTCCAATAAGGAGCAGAAAGGGGCTGGGAGCACTGGGAGGGAGCTGGCATTCAGCATCAGCACCTGGGAGGGCGACCAGGCAGGTGGGGAGGGAGGGAGGGGAAAGGGGCACTGGGCAGTTGTCTGGGGGATCTGAAAATCACCCTGGGACAGCCTGGTGGGGTGACCAACCCAGGTGGGGAGGGGAAGATCAGAACTGGAAACCAGAAATGGTGTGAGGGCTGAATGAATGAGGAAAGCCCACCACCTAGGGGCTGCGGGTGACCGGCACCTGGAAGAACAGCAAGCCGGACCAATGGGGGCAGGCTGAGAGGGGATCAACTTAACAAGACTGCACCAGGCTCCAATTTACCTATCTTTAAGAGATCTTCAAAGAAAAGTTGCCGGGCAAGGTGGCGCACACTTTAAGTCCTAGCACTTGGGAGGCTGAGGCAGGAGGATCACTGCAAATTCCGGGGCAGCCCAGGCTACATAATGAGTTCAAGGACAGCCTGAACTACATAGCAAGACCCTGTCTCAAAAGCACCACAAAACAGGGCTGGAGATTTAGCTCAGTGGTACCACAGTCTGCCTCACAAGCTCAAGGTCCTGAGTTCGATGCCTGGTACCAAAACAAAACAAAAGTTAAGATCAATAAAAAAAAAAAAAGTAAGAAAGAAAAGTTCAGCCGAGTGCTGTGGCACAAACCTGTCATCCATCCCAGCACTCTGGAAGGCTGAGGCAGGAGGATCCCAAGTTTAAGCCCAGCCTGGGCAACTTAGCAACTTAGCAAGAGCCTGCCTAGAGACAAAAATAATAAGGGCTGAGTACGTAGCTCCGGGCAAGGGCCCTGGGTTTAATACCCAGTACTGGGGAGGGGAAAAAGGAAAAACAAAACAAAATTCAGATTCCTGGACGCCACTGGCAGCAGCCTAAGAGTGAGGTTGTGTGTACTTCTCTGCCAGCGTGGAACAAAGCAGGCTCTGTGTAAAGGTGCCTCGTTCTGGATTCCCACGGAAAGTAAACAGCTGGGCCATTTTCAGCTGATAGGAGTGAGGGGGGGGGCCCAGGGGTGAGGCGCCCCGCGCCCGGAAAGACACGGTCATCCCAAGGAGAGGGGAGCCACCGGCAGAAGCAAGCGGCTCTGCCACTGCCGGCTGCAGCCTTGGGTGCGAAAAATGCCTCCATCTCCTTGCGCAGCACTGGGGATGGAAACCAGTCTCTGCACTGAGCCCTCTTTATTCTGAGTCAGGGTCTCACTAAGTTGCCAGGCTGGGTTTGAACTTGAGGTCCTCCTGCCTCAGCCTCTGAGGTGCTGGAATTACAGGTGTGCGCCAGCTCTTTTTTTTCTTCCGTAACCCGGACTGGGAGGTAGCGTCCCCTTCTCTCTGTGCCCACGCAGTCTGCCGTGTGTGCCTGGACAATGCTGTCGCACCCGGAGTGCCTTTGGCCTCCAGGGCTGTTACGGCCAAGGCAGAGCTGGCTTCCGCCTCTGCCCACGCATAGCGCGCGGTCCGGTCCAGTCCCGAGGCAGTAAGAGGAAACGAGAGAATAACGCGAGATCATTTCGAGAATGAAAATGCCATGAAGGAAATGAGCCAGGCTATGTGGTTAGACTGGGCTCAAGGAAGGCCTGGAGCCGACAGCTCACTGCCACCAAAGGAGGGCAGGGAGCGAGTCGCCAGAAATCGGAGGGCAAAAACTTCCAGGTGGAGGGCAAGGCCTTGGAGCAGCAGTGAGGAGACCGGAGCAGTGGGAGGAGGGGCGGAGGGAAGGGAATGGTGGCCGAGCAGGGCCTTGTGGGCTGCAGGGAGGACTTGGGCTTTGGCCCAGGGAGGTAGGAGAGGTGCTGAGGAGGAGGCCCTGATGCGGTGCTCGCGGCGCCCTCTGGTGGTTGCTGTATGGGGACAGGTCAAGATCAGGAGCAGGGACCAGGTGGAGAGGACTGAACTGGCACAGAAGAGTCCCTAGGAAGGGTGAGGGGCTGACTCCAGGGATAATGTGGAGAGGAAGCCCTGGGCCCTGGCCCGAGATGGGGCCGCGGGAGGCGCTGGGGTGTGGCCAGGAGGAGGCTCCTCCTCCTCCTCACTCTGCTACTTAAACACACAAGCATCATCCACCCCAGGACCTTTGCACCTGCCGTGCCCCAGCCTGGTGCACCCTTTCCCAGAAATCTTTCGCTGCCTTGAGCCTCCTCCACTGGCCGCCCCCTCTGCAGCTGGGTCGACCTCGCATGCCCACTCTGCTCTCCCTCCCCTGACCTCCTCCCACTGTAGAGCGCCTAGTTTGGACAGCCACCCTTGCCTGCTGGGGTGAGGACCTCTCTGGGGACAGGGGAAGGAAACGGCTCTGCCAGGTTCATGGCTTGTATCTAAAGCACCAGGCACACAGTAGGTGCCTAATATATGCTAAGCGAATACATCAAACAGACAGGGCAGTGCCCTGCATACAGTGGGTATTTAATAAATACTACAGATTGGGCCAGGGATTTAGCTTAGTGGTTCCGCTGCCTGACTCAAAAGTGCAAGGTCCCTAGTTCAATCCCTGGTACCAAAATAAATAAATACATAAATAAATACTACAGATTAACTGAACCAATCAATGCAGTAGAACGGTACCCAGTTTCACAGGAAGCACTCAATAACTCTTCCTGCTTCTAAATCCTCCCTCCCTAACATGACTGCAATTCTTATTTTATTTTGTATGATTTTTTTTTTTCTTGTACTGGGGTTTGAATCCATAGCCTTCAGACTGAGCTCTACTTCCAGCCCTTTTTACTTTTTATTTTGAGACACAATCTCCTAAATTGATAAGTTGCCCAGACTGGACTCAAACTTGTGATCTTCCTGACTCAGCCACCCAGAGGGCTGCTATACAAGCTGATATCATTGCTAAGGTTAGGACTATTTTTTTTTTTTTTTTTTTTGGTTCCGGGGATCGAACTCGGGTCCTTGAGCTTGCGCAGCAGGAGGCGAAACCACTGAGCTAAATCCCTGGCCCAGTTTAGGACTATTTTATTTGTACTCTGACCGTTGGGAGAGAGTGGAGCAGGAGTTTAAACTGGAAAGCCTGAGCTTCCTCCGCAGCAGAGTGAAGCCTCAGCGATTTCACTGAGCACCTACTATGTGCAAGCTCCTGGCAGAGCAGGCATAAGTTCCGCACAGCTGTTCTCCAAATCTGGCCTCCTCACCTTCCCCTACCGTTGGCCCAGGGTCTGAGCACGTCTGGGGTCACAGCAGGTGACCCGTGTGTACTGACAGTGAATGAATAAGCCCTGTCGCCGCCTCTTCCGGATGCTGCTGCCCCACCCCGCCCCACGGCTCGGGGGAGACTCGGGTCCCCAGCCCAGCTGGCAGCGCCCCCACCCCGACTTCAGGCCCCTACCCCTACATGGGCCGTAAGGAAGAAATAAGAGGGTCCCCAGGGGGAAGAGACAGAGCTGGCCGGACCACGGGGACCCCGGGAAAGCTGGGGTCCCCAGGGTGGGCGAGGCCTGTGAAAGGGGGGCACCGAGGCCCAGGGCGGGTTCTAGGGAGGAACTGAGTGTAAGGGAAATCGGGGTACTGGAGAGGGACCCAGACTGTTGGGGGACCCAGGTGTTGGGGACCTGGGTATCGGAGAGACTTGGGTGCTGGGAGACAGACAGCTGGGGCACTGGGATCCGGCCGCTGCAGGGTCGCAGGTGTTGGGGTTCGGGGTGGGGACAGAGAGCCCCGCTGTGTGGAGCACCCGCCCGCCCCGGCTTTGGGGTCCCCAGCCCGCTCAGACGCCTCCACGGCCCGCCGTCACCTACCTTTGGGGCAGCGTCCTCCGCTCCCCTCCTGCTGCGCGCTGCAGGGCCCGAGTAGCCGAGAGGAGGCGCCGCCCTCTCCAAGTCACGGGGAGGAGCCGGTGAGGTCACCGCGAGACCCGAGGCCGGGAAAGTCCCCCGAGGGGCCCCAGGAGCCGCGCTGGACGGCAGACCCAAGGGAAAGCAGAGGGGCGGCCCAGACTGCACACGGCGCAATCAGGCGCTTTGGGGATACCAAACGGGGCATTTAAGGCACCAGATCACAACTTTGGGGAGTCCAGGACCCAGAGCAGGCAGACTGTTAGACACTCAGGGCCCCCATGACGTCGGGGCCCACTGGAATTTTTTATTTTTAGTTACAGGCATGAAGCCAGGGCCAGGCACTGAGCTAAATCCCTGGCCCTGGAGATAGCGTCTCCTTAAGTTGCCCAGGCTGGACTGGAACTTGGGATTCTCTTGCCTCAGCCTCCCAGAGTGCTGGAATGACAGGTGTGCACTGCCACAGCCTCGTACATTTCCACATCCTTTAAAGTTAGAGGGAAAACATGAATATGCCCCAGCTTGGATCCGTTCTTTGTACAATGGACGTAAAATAGGATTTTTGTGTTTAAGGAGATGGCTCCTGGCTGAGTCAGGATCTTTTTTTTTTTAATTAAATAACTATTATCAAACACACACATACAAAAAATTAAAACCACTCAAAAACAATGCAAGGGGAAAAAAGCCTACAATACTACTCAAATACAGTAGAACTCAACCAAAACAGAACTGAAAAGCACTTAAACATTTTTCCATATAACTTAAAAAAGCATCTCAAGCACCAACAAGAGAGTCAGGATCTTTGACAGGACTCCGGCAGATGACAGAAGCTCAGAGACTACTTGCTGGGTAGGCCATGATGAGACAGGAGGGTCAAAAGTTCAAACCCAACCCCAGGGCTGGTGGTGCACCCCTATAATCCCAGCACTTTCCAGGCTGAGGCAGGAGGATTTGTACAAGTTTGAGGCCAGCCTGGGCTACATAGTGAGTTCAAAACTAGCCTGAACTACAAAGCAAGACCCTGTCTAAATTAATTAATTAATTAAAATTTAAAAGAAAAAGAAATTTTGAGCCCAGACTGGGCTACTTAGTGAGACCCTGTCTCCACAATAAATAAATAAATAAATAAAACAAAAAGTAAAAAGGGCTGGAGGCATAGTTCAGTGAGAAGGCCTTGTGTTCAATCTATTTGAACTGGTCAACTTTGCCAGACTCTGTCTCAAAAAACAAACAAGACTATTTGCAGAAGTATTTTTATTTTATTTTTTTGTTACTGGAGATTGAACTCTGGACCTTGAGCTTGTGAGGCAGCCAGTGGAACCACTGAGCTAAATCCCTGGACCCTTGCAGAAGTATTTTTAAGAAATAACCTAGTAGCTAGGCATGATGTTGCTCACACCAATAATCCCAGCACATGGGAGGCCAAGGCAGCAAAGTTCAAGGCCGGTTTGAGCTAGTGAGTTTCCACCCAACCGGACTGCAGAGTAAGACCCTGCCTGAAAAAGAAACGAATAAAAAATAAAAATGAAAGCCCAGGTGCATGCCTGTAAACCCAGCACTTGGGAAGCTGAGACAGGAGGGTTGCCCCAAGTTCGAGACCAGCATGGGCTCCACGACAAGACCCTGTCTCAAAAAAACCAAGCCAAACAAAAAAAGCAATGACCCAGTGTTGTGCTGCCCAATGAATGAATACACACAGAGTGGTCTAACCACAGGATGGAATATTAGCCATGAAAAGGAAGTCCTGGCACCGCTAGAGCAGGGAGAGAAAACTTGAGACCGCGCTGCTCAGGGAGCTGAGGCAGACACAGGAGGACATGCAGCGCAGGGCCCCACCCCCAGGAGGCCCAGCGTGGTCAGACCCACAGGGACAGGAAGGAGGACGGTGGTGCCGGGCTGGGGAGGGGACAGGGGTCAGCGCTTCCTGGGACAGAGCTCAGCTGGGGAGATGGAAAGTCCTCGAGGTGGGCGGCGGGGACGGCACAGCCGAGGGATGCGCTCGATGCCACTGAACCATACACTTAGACGTGGTCAGAAGGGGGCTGGGTGTGGCTCAGCAGCAGAGCACATGCTTAGCAAGTACAAAGCCCTGGGTAGAATCCCCAGCACCAAAAACAGTTACCATAATTTCAGGTTACATATATTTCACCACAATTTAAAAAAAATATATTTTTGAGGCAAGGTCTCACTATATAGCCAAAGCTGGCCTCAAACTCATAGTAATCCTCCTGCCTCAGCCTCCCGAGTGCTGGGATGATGACAGGTGTGCATCAGCACACTGGGCAACACTGACTTTGCATGGTGACCAAGCGTGGCCCTGTTTCGGGTTCTCGAAAGCACAGAAGCGGCTGTGAAAGTACCCGGAGTCTGCTGGGGACAAGGGACAGGGACAGGGCCCAGGCCTGGCTGCTGCCTCACTCATAATTGAGGAAGCGGAAGCAGCAGTCAGTGTGGGCGGAAACAGAGACCCGACTCTGCCCCCTCAGAGTCCCGGGCACCCTGGACTCCTGCCCAAGAGCCCCCAGCGGTCCAGAGCCTCAGGCTGCAGGTCACTGAGAGTCCTCGAAGGGGCTTCCCACAGCCGGGACAGAGATGAGAGGTCCCCACCCTGCAGCCTCTCTCACATGTGGGCTGGACTCACTGGGTACCTGCTGCGTGCCAGGCTGGCCTGGCCCTAGGAAGGCATCAGGAAAGAGGAAAGAAACGGTTCTCAGCAGGGCGTGGTGGTGCATGCCTGTCACCCCAGCGCCTCATGTTGGAGCCCAGCCTGGGCAACTTGGCGAGAGCCTGTCTCAAAATAAAGAATAAAAGGGCCAGGGATGTAGCTCAGTGGCACCGTCCCTGCCTAGCAAGCCCAAGGTCCTGAGTTTGATTCCCTGTACCTGAAAAAAATTTTTTTTAAATAATAAAAAGGGCTGGGGTGTGGCTCAGTGCAGAGGCCTTGGGTTCAGTCTCAGCACCAAAAATAACAGAACACAAGCCATTTGCCGCCCGCCGCCAAGTCTCCTCATTCAGCTGCTCGCTTGTGCCCCCACAGGCGATTGCTCTCCTGACTGCTGTCTTCCTGTCCATCATGATGTTTCTAAACTTCAGCACACTAGATGCTTTCACGTCTGGCTTTCTTTTCCTCATCATTCTGCCTGTGGGTTTCTTCCACATTGTTGGGAACATCCGGGCTTTCTCCTTTTAAAGACAGGGTCTCTTCATGTTGGCCAGGCTGGCCCCAAACCCCTGGGGTCAAGCAATGCTCCTGCCTCAGCCTCTCAAAAAGCTTCAACTATGGGTACACACACCACACTGGAACCTTATTCCTTTTGTTGCTGTGTAATATTCCACACTGGGTGATTATATAGTAGTGAAAGAGGCTAACATATATTTATCCCCTTTCCTTTTTTCCTGAGATTCCATCCAAGACTTTCACACTGAGCTACATCCCCAACCCTTTTTCACTTTTTATTTTGAGACAAAGTCTTTGTAAGTTGCCTAGTTGCCCAGGGTAGGCTCAAACTTGCAATCCTCCTGCTTCAGCCTCCCAAGTAGCTGTAATGACAGGCATGTGTCACTGCGCCTTTCTAAGCTATTTTTGTTTTAGCATCAAGAATAGACTAAAACGCGCGCGTGCGCGCACACACACACACACACACACACACACACTTTAGCTGCAGGTAAAATTTATTAAGGCGACACTGGATACCTGGGTACTGGGACGGGGCTCACCACCCAGGCCTCAGCCCCTTTTGGACCCAGAATCAGCTCAGCTGCCCCCGCTGGCCACCCAGGGGGCCAGGGTACTCAGACCGGAAGTCCTAGTCTGGGCAACTTAGTAATTTGGGGAGACTCTGTCACAAAATATAAAATAATAAGAGCTGGGGTGTAGCTCAGTGCCAAGCCCTCTGAAACAAAGAAAAAAATAGAAAAAGAAGAGAAGAGTTTGAAGTGAGCTGGTTGTTAGAGAAACCAGCGATGCTGGTGCCCCCGGGGAGGGACAAGGCCGGCCCACCCCCTACTACTTCTCCTCCTCCTCTGGGGCTCGCTCAGTGATGCCCGGGGCAAAGGGCCCCACCAGCCAGGTGACATGCACGTTCTGGGCCACGAACTCCACCACACGCTCCAGGGCCTCTCGGGCCTGGGCCACGCGCTCCCGGCTCTGAGCCAGGACACTGCCGGGCAGGTCCTGGAAGGAGCGGGCACCGGCAAAGGTGGCCTGCAGGTCCTCCACGTGGCAGCGCACCTGCTGGGCCTGGTCCTTCACGTGCGCGGGCAGCCCCTGGATGCTGGCGCCCAAGGACGCACAGGTGCTCTGCAGCTGCTGTGCCACCTCGCGGCACATGGCCAGCGCCCGCGACTCCACCTGTGGGGACAGCAGGATGCGCAGCTGAAGCAGGGCAGGGCTCTATCAGTAGCCAGACGGGAAGCTTTTCCAGGGCAGAGACCGAACTGAGGGCTTCCTGCTGAGCTCCATCCCCAGCACTTTTTATTTTGTATTTTGAGACAAAGTCTAAGTTGCCCACACTGGGCTTGAACTTGTGATCCTCCTGCCTCAGCCTCCCAAGTGCTGGGATTAGAGGTATGTGCCACTATGCCCAGCTGTGAGCCACATCAGTATGGAGCAACTTGAATTTACAAGCCACAGCCACACCCATGGAGGGAAATCTTGAAGGGCTTCCTGGAGGAGGCCTCAGGGTGGCAGAAAACAGTGAAGAGGAGGAGTCTTGGAGAGCATGCGGGTGGGAGGGCCCACAGAGCAGCGCCTGCAGGCTGACTCGGTGCCCCAGCACCGGCACACCCAGTGGGTACCTCTGGTTTGGCCGGGTCCTCCGAGCCCTGTGATGCTCTCTGGTTCCAACTCAGCCACATCCGGTGCAGCTTCTCCTGCCCCTCCAGCAGCTTCTGGTCCACTCCCTGCTTCACGGTTTCCATCTGCAGCGGAGAAAGACCAGTGAGGGTCGGGGCTCCTCCGGGGGGTGCTCCTTTCCGGTCCGACTTATTTTTTAAACTGTGTTGGGGATGGAACCCTGGGCCTTCACCCTAAGGTACATCTTAGGCCTGTTCTATTTATTATTTTGAGACAGGGTCTTAATAAGTCACTAAGTTGGAGCCGGGGATTTAGCTCAGTGGTTCCGCTGCCTGCCTTGCAAGCGCAAGGTCCTCAGTTCGATCCTCGGCACCAAAAAAATAAATAAACAAAAATTAAAAAATAAGTCACTAAATTGCCCAGGGTGGGCTCCAACTTGAGATCCTCCTGCCTCAGCCTCCCAGAGCGCTGGAATAATATGCCTACAACACCACACCTGGCCAGGTAGTACCCTTTTTTACACCAGAGCACCTAACATACAACCACAGCCCCAGCCAGTTGGACCCTTCCAGCGCACCTGCCCAGGTGCGTGATGCTCTACCCAGCACGGGAAGGGTCGCGCCGCCCCTCTCCCTACTCACCAGACTGAGCGCCTGCGCCAGCTGCTGCAGCGCTTCCTGCGCATGCTCCTTGGTGCTGCGCAGCTTCCCCAGCGAGTGCTCATACGCGTGCTGGCTCAGGCGCTCAGACAGTGAGCCTAGGCGCACAAAGTAGCTCTGCTCCTGCCGCTGCTGCTGCACCGAGGCTATGTCAAAGCCCTCCAGGGACGTGGCGAGGCGCGCTGGGGTGGGCAAGAGGTCCCTGTGAGGCCAGGGTGCACTGGTCCTGTCTGTGCCCAGGTCGCAGCGCTCAAAGGCTGCCAGGGACTTGCAGACGAGGCCAGCAACATGAGGTAGGAGAGGACATGGACTCGCCGTTTGCCATGTCGCTCCATTCCTGCCACCACCCCAAATGGTCCCATGATCACTCCTCGGGCCCCAGCCACACCAGCTTTCTTGTTGACCCTTGAACAGGTTCTTCTTATCCCAGGACCTTTGCACTGGCCGCTCCCTGGGGCAGGAACATTTTCAGCAGGTGCTCAAAGCCTTACCCAAAAATCATGTAGAAAGGGCTTCTTCTCTGTTCTCCCCCCTGCCTTGTGGCACCCCTGAGCCTCTTGGTTCATTTAAAAGTTCAAACCCATGTACTGGTGCACGCCTGACATCCCAGCACTCTGGGAGGCTGAAGCAGGAGGATCACAAGTTCAAGCCCAGAACGGGCAACTTTGTGACTTAATGAGACCCTGTCTTGAAATTTTAAAAAATGACGGGATGTACCTCAGTGCAAAGGCTCTGGGCTCAATACCTAGTTTCACTGATACAAAAAAGGTTTACTGGGCACCTGCTGTAAGTTAGATCCTGGAGATATGTTGGGAATCAAAATTTGTTCCTCACAGAATTCACCATCTCAGTAACAAAAATCAAGCTAAAGGGAAAATAATGGAGACTAGGTAGACATTTCTGAGGAGGTAACATTTGATTGGAGCTAAATGGACACAGGGCATAGCCCATGCAAAGGCCCTGGGGCAGGATGGAGCCCAGTGTGGTACAGGCAAGAAGCCCATGTGACTGGAGCAGAGGGACAGTGGGGCAGAGAGGGAGGTGGGGAGGTAAGGAGGGGACTGGCCAGCATCCAGGGCCCTGTGGGCTGCAGGGAGGACTTGGGCTTTGGTCCCAGGGAGGTGGGAGTCATGGAGGGCTGAGGGCAGAGGAAGCAGGACCTTACTCAGTGCTCACAGCCCCATCTAGTGGCTATTATGGGCAGGACAGGCTGCAGGGTTAGGGGAGAGGTGACCAAGGGCCAAGGTGAGCCTGGAAGGGGCTGCAGGGATTGAGCATGGCTAACAGGGCTGCACTCACCCAGCTCGGCATTTGTCATGGGCAGGTGGTTGTCTGCCCAGGCCTCTGACTTGCCCAGCACGGTCTCTGCCCCACTCAGCACCATCTGTCCCACACGCGACCCCATGACCGACTGGACGCTGCTGGTCACCGCGGACTTCGTCATGTCCACACCGCTCTGCACAGCTCCGCGGGTCACATCCACCGC